AAATAAATAAAATCTTTAAAAAAAAAAAAAAAGATTAAAAATGGCTTCAGATTTTTTAACGGCAGCACTGAAATAATGTTCTGAAAGTTGAGTGTTATGATTTCCAACTCTGAATCCATACACAGCCAAACATCAGAATAACTCTGAAAGTAGAGGAATGACATCAAAGAGCTAAGAACAAATTCTCTTGCCATTTACCTTTCTCAGGAAGTTAAGTAAACTAAGATAATGAGCCAAAAGGTTGGGGGGGGCGGGTAAAGACATGGCCTGATAACTAAGGGATTTAAGTCAAGAGAAAAGTAACAAGAGCTCCTAGGGGGCTGGTGAAAAGTCCCAGGACAAGAGATGTGCACAGGAGAGAATAACCAGCCCATATTGGAGCAGATGGATGGAAGGCTCCCAGAAAGAAAAATGCCTGGGATGGAAATGACACGTTAAGCATGTGATAATACTAATACGTAGGCACACAGAAAATAGGTAAGATGAAAAAAGAACACTACTACAACTCAGGAAAGAGAAAGGGATATTTAAAAAAGATATTAGGGCTCTGGCTTAGCAGGGAACAGTATTTATATAGTCATAAAATTATAAACCCTGATTACTGATTTAAACACAAATTACTGGGGTGACAGAAAAAGTAAAGTGAGAGGGTTATACAAAGGGGAAGCAAGATTTAAGTCAGGGAGGAGTAAGGCTAAAGATAGAGGTTTCTGTTATAGAAATTTTATTATCATCTGTTCTTTTAAGGTGCATGTGTTAATTTGAGAAAAATTTAAAAATAGTTTAAGTAAACTCAACCTTTCTTTTCTTCAAACTAACTTCCTTTTCTTATTAGGTAGGAAACAAAAAATGCCAAACATCAGGGAAAAAGAATTTACAATTCTAGGAATATGTAAGACTACTTAAGTCTCAAGTCTTATTTGACTAAGTCATACTGTTCTCAAAATTGAAAACATAAATCATACTGTGCATTCCTGTTGAATACAATAAAATTAATGAGAAATCCTGTAAGCTTTCACATTATTCATATACTATTAAATTTGAGGAATGAGTATACCTTTGGGGCTGAATACTGTCATCACTATGCTGATTCCGTTTTAGGAGGCTCAATAAGGAATTTAACATGTAAAAATGGTTAATTTTTACTGTTTTTCCTTTAGCTGACATCTACTTCTTCTTAGGATTCCCGATTTCAACTTGCACTGAGTAGCCCCTGCCCCCACGTGGTTTACCTCCGTGAGGATATCAGCAGGAACTCCAGTAGCCATGAGGATGGTGCAGAGCTGCTGCAGTAAGCCGCACTGGAACATAGCTTTCTGGCAGCTGCTGGTAGCACCAGGGGGGTTGGTGGGAGACACCAGTACACGGACAAGCTGTGCAGGAGAGAGAAAACAACATTGGTCTTTTAAAGATTGGAAAAGTCTTGAGGGAAATTATCTATATGAACAAGAATGTCTATGTCTCCTTCAGGCCACTGTGAACTTCCAGAGCACACTCTGCCTCTGTCATTTTTTGGATTCCAAAGAATGACCCCAGTATTTATAACATATTTTAAATTCAGTAAATGAATGGATAAGGAACAGGGTGGTATATTTCTTATCAAAGTAAAGATGAACTACCTAATTATAGAGTAGATGTGACAACAGAGTGGCTTGAGGTGTGATGTATTCCCCTTCAACTGGAGATACTTGAAGAGAGACTAAAACTAACAACCGAAGATTTACCGGGTACAAGATTTATGCATTAGGCAAGGGGTTGGCCTCACTGATTGTAATGCTAATTAAATCCGTATAGCTCTATGAGTAGTCTGAACTTGAACATGACATCTGAGAAACATAAAAAACGTCATCCCAAATATGTTCAGCACAGTTAGATCTTCAAAATAATTTTATATGTATCTTGTATTTTAAAACTACACTCATAGGTCTATGTGTGTACAAAGCCTTATATATTAAGATCAAATGGGAAATTTGTGATAATACTTTATTAAGAGGGTTGATTAAGGGGCGCCTGGGTGGGTCAGTTGGTTGGATGTCTGTCTTGGCTCAAGTCATGATCCCAGGGTCCTGGAATCAAGTGGCTCAGGTCATGATCCCAGAGTCCTGGGATCAAGCCCCAAGTTGGCTCCCTGCTCAACGGGGAGTCTGCCTCTCCCTCTCCCCCTGGCCCTCCCCCACTCATGCTCTCTCTCTCTCCTCTCTCAAATAAATAAATAAAACCTTAAAAAAAAAAAAGAGAGGGTTAATTAATACACTGATGTCACTAGAGAGAGGCTTTAGGATTACCTATTGGTTTAAATCCTTAGACCTTTCCAGTTAGGCCTCCATGGTTTTTTGTTTTTTTAATTTATTCCCCTCTTATCCTTACGTGAAAGGGAAAAAAAAAATACATACACACACTCACACACACACACAGAGATAATATATATATATTTAAAGCAAATACCAAGCTAGATGTCATTTCTCCCATAAATATTTCTATATGCATCTCTAACTAAAAAGGATTACCGTACCTAACAAAATCAACAATTCCTTAATATCATCTAATAGCAGTTGGGTATCTTTATTGATGATGTAAAAAAAAGCATTATCAATTTTCTAGATGACAGAGAAGTAGGAAAAGGTGATTGAAGAAGGAGGGAATACTTAATATAAGGATAAGAAAATAAAGGAAGACTTAATAACAACATTCAAATATATAATACCATAAGAAATGAACTTGTATTTTCCCAGAGAGCAAAACAAGGGAAGTTTGTAGCAGTTACATCAAGGCAGACTTTGACCCATTATATGGATTAAGTTTTTAATAACTAGAATTACCCCAAAATGAAAAGGATTCTCTCATAAGGTAATGAGCTTTCTGAGAGTAGCTGGCAGTATCTGTCCAAAAAATGGTCTACAAGGGTATACATGCCTGTAGGAATAGTAGGAGGCAGAACTAGTCATAACACTATCATTTCAGGACAAAATTAAAATGTTTTATGACTAAAAAAATTTTTGAGATGATGCTTCCCCCAAATTTAATCTGTAGAATCTGAATAAATATCCTTAAGCACATCAATTTCAACTTAGAGAATTTTAAAAATCAATCATGATTTCAAATGCAATGATGACTAGTTCCAGTTAGGATGTTATCTATCCAAATAGGACTATTTACCACCATTTTTGATGCATTTTCATTTGGTGCATAATAAAGAACTGGAAGTATAAGTAACATACATAAAGCTACAAAGAAATAGCACTAGAACCGACTGAAAAGCAGAAGATAACCTGTGGCCTGTGAAGTCATGAATGTATCAACTACTCAATTTTTGAGATGGAGAATATATTAAAGTGAATTAAACTCAGCTTCTTTATTTTGAAGTTTACTTTCTTCAACATTTTATTCACTTCTTGTAAGTCAAGAGTACTTAAAGAAACAATTTACTATGTACCTAGAATTTTTTTGTTGATATTCAGTACTCTAGTCTTTATTTTTTTGGGTAAAATACTACTTTACTTTTAAACAGTGACATTTTCTTCAAAAATAATTCCTTACATAGTACCTTAAACTATAAAACACGAATGGACTCCTCCAGCACTTTAAATTTTCACTGCTTGGCAGGATATTTATATAACTTTTTGCACATCACCAGATCCCTTCACTCTGTCTAATCACATTTTGAAAGGTACTTTTCTAGAGGAATTTCCTTTATTAAGAAAGTGGTGTTGGGCAAAGATATCAAGCTTACTACTTGGGATGCTAATTTGAAAGTATAAAAAACCAATACAGTCTTGAAATGTGTAACACCGACACACGAAAATAGAAATGATAAAGGGGGGAGTATAAAAAAGGAAGATTCTACCCATGTGCTCCCATAAAATATCATCCTGTTCTTAGGTATATTCTATATAGGGTAACTATAATTTGTTATCTAAATTGGGACAGTTTAGAAGTGAAAGAGGACACTGTTATAGTAATTACAAAATGAATACTACCCTGGCAAAATGGGGCATCTGGTCACCCTAATTATCAATCAACCCTACATAGCCAACTCCCAAGGCATGCAGCAATATTCAGACTCTAATTACTAGAGAAACTATCCATCTAGTTTTGAGGAAAACAACTTCAGAGACGGAGGCACAATTCAGAGATATTCGAAGACCCACAAGAATCACCAGCGAGTCAGTAAGTTGGGAGGCTAATGTATAAACTTAAGGATTGAGAAGTAATAAAGGAATAAGTAAGTAAAATACTTCAAAGAATTTCATATATTCTCTGATGGAGAAATCATTTGGGATCCTACTGTCTTCACTTTTACTATCCATCACCACTAAGCTTTCACCATAAAGCTTAAATAAAATTACAGGTGATGTGTCAATTTAACCCGTATCGGATTTAAAACAGATTATTAATCTTTGGGGGCAGGCACATTATCATTCATTTCCTAGCAGTCAGTGCATAGCTCCCAGTAAATGTTTACTGAATGAATTTATTTGCCGAATGTAGTATTCTGAACATTAAAACCTTAATTGAAGAAATCAGATTTTAAAAATTCAAATCAACAATCTAACCTATTATTCTCTGGGTGCAAAACCCATCAGGACACTATATATTTGGATTTGCTTTAAAATAATCCAGCAGGACAAGAAAGGGGAATAAAAGGTGAAACAAAATTGCCAGATGTTAATAATTATTGAAGCTGAGTGATGGGTGTATGCGATGGGAGTTGGGGGGGAGGTTAATGGCAGAGGATCTCTGAACATAACTGCAAATCTTCATATTAAAAGATTCTTTAAAGCCCATCTGAAACCAACTCAACATCCTAAATTTATCAAACACAAGCAATTTTCTTTGAAAGGAACATTGTCAAAATTCTTATCACATTTATGTCTAACTACAGTATACCTGTAGCATTACGTGCAGATTAGTCACTTTCTGTGCAGACCAGCCAGAATTTTCATCTCCAACATGAAACCAAGGTTTCATACGTTGAATATATGAGCCTTCTTTAAAAAAATTTTGATTGGAATTGTTGTTTTTTAACAAGTTTTGGAGCAAAATCAGACAATCTTCCACTACTATACCTGGGAAAAGAATGTAAAATGGAAGTGTTAAGGCTGATAAAACCTGAAGGAAAATTCAATCCCCAAACACTTTTTGCTGGGGGGGGGGGGGGGGAGGGGGGGTCCAGAGGGAGAGGGAGAGAATTTTTTTTTTTTTTAAAGATTTTATTTATTTTAGAGAGAGACAGAGACAGAGACATGCACATGCCTGCGTGCAGGGGAGGAGCAAAGGGGGAGGGAGAGGGACCAGCAGACTCCACTCCATGCTGAGCTCAGAGCCCCAGGCAAGGCTCAATCTCATGACCCTGAGATCATGACCTGAGCTTGAGTAGAAATCAAGAGTCGGAAGCTTAACCGACTGAGTCACCCGGATCCCTCCACTAAACACTTTTAAAGACAAATCCTAAGCTCAGCATTTCTTCAGTACGGCAAGGCAGAAAGCCTGTTCTGACTCCTGATGGCCACAGGCCACAAGCTGTGTGCTCTTTCTCATGATCTCTTGACCCCTCTGTTCAACTATCCACTCACCTCAGTAACTCATATTTTTCTTTAGATCCCAGATTAAACATCAAGACCTGATGACCAGGCTAGTATCACCAGCTACATGCTTTCACAAAAGCCTGCTCCTTTTATTATGCTGTATCTGTCTTCTCCACTGGATTATAATTCATAAAGACAGGAATGTGAATGCCCTACTAGGATACAGTGACTTACTCTGTCCTCAGCAGAGACAGAGATATCAGATCTATAAATATCAGGTCACTATTAAATATTCATTGAATGAATCAACCATATTTTACTTAATCTCTAAGAAGGACCTGACATTGCTATCTTGATGTCTCTTTCCTGAAACTTACTCTTCCCTTGGTTTCTAACACACTAACTACTCTCTCTTCATTTTCCTTACAGATCTCTGGCCACTCTCAGGCTTCCTATCATTCCTGGTTCCTGTTCTCCATTTATTCCTATCTCTGCTTACAACATACTATTCTATAGGGTACTTTCATCCACACTACAGCTTACACTGTTATCATGGTTTAAAGCTCGCCAACTGATCTCTACTTTACCGCGTGCTAGTTTAACCAAGGATCCGTTTCCTGTTAAAAATATGATTGATACTAGATGTTCACAGCTAATAGGTTCCTCTGTATAGTACATCCACACTTTTACTCCTACTAATTGAGCTTTATGTTTACAAAAATCAGTTGCTTTTTTTTTTAATTAATAGACTTTATTTTGGGGGTGCCTGGCTGGCTCAGTCGGAAGAGCATAACAACTGTCGATCTCGGGGTCATCTGAGTTCAAGCCCTATGTCAAGTGCAGAGATCACTTAAATAAATAAAACTTAAAAAAAAAAAAAGACTATTTTTTAAAGCACCTTAACAGTGTTTTGTAGAGAAATTTTCAATGTTAAAGAAGTCCCACATATCAATTTTTTCTTTCATGGATCATGCCTGGATTATTGCACCTAAGAGTAAATTACTTTTGTAATTTACAAATCTACCATGCTATCTGCACTAGTTATTAATTAACTATAATATAAATTGTCAAATAATAGTCCCCTCTTATCTGCAGTTTCACTTTCTGAGGTCTTATCTGTGATCGAGTGCAGTCCAGAAGCAGATGATCCTCCTCCTGATTTAGTGTCAGAAGGTTAATAATAGTAGCCTAATGCTACGTCACAATGCCTACATCATTTACCTCACTTCATCTCATCACATAGTTATTTTATCATTTCATGTCATGACAAGAAGCAAGGTGAGTACAGCACATTTTCAGAGACAGAGAAAGTAAGATCACATTCACGTAACTTTAATTACAGTATATTGTTACAGTTGTTCTATTATTAGTTGTCGTTAATCTCTTATTGTGCCTAATTTGTAAATTAAACTTCATCATAGGTATGTATGTATAGGAAACAACACTGTATATATAGGGTTTGGTACTATGATTTCAGGCATCCACTGGGGGTCTTGGAGTGTATTCCCTATAGATATGAGGGAATGACTATATAATAGAGCTATTTTATAAAAACTAAGTCTTTGGCAAAACTCAATGAAAGCCAAGTCATTAAGAATAGTTGTTGTTATATATGGGTAATGCAAGCCATACAAAAAAAGTAATTGTAAAAACCCATAAAGGGGGCGCCTGGGTGGCTCAGTCGTTAAGCGTCTGCCTTCGGCTCAGGTCATGATCCCAGGATCCTGGGATTGAGTCCCACATCGGGCTCCCTGCTCGGCAAGAAGCCTGCTTCTCCCTCTCCCATTCCCCCTGCTTGTGTTCCTGCTCTCGCTATTTCTCTCTCTGTCAAATAAATAAATAAAATCTTTTAAAAAAAAAAAAACAACCCATAAAGATCTTGCACTTCAAAGAAGCCAAAGATCAAATCCTACATGATGTATTATAGATGTGATGTAATAAAGATGCACGAAGATGATGGAAAAACTCCTATCAGTCCACCCATATTTGAAGAAAACGTTCTGGCCCTAACTCCAAAGGTCAGTTTATCAATGCAAATTATTACATTTAACTTGAGATAAAATGTTTAAGGTGCATATTTCAGATTCCTTTTAAAATCTCTGATTTAACCCATCCTGATCTCCCAAATTAGAGGCTTCCTTACCTCATACTGCTGAAACATGTGGATCCTCACCTTCTAAGGAGGAACCACTGTATCTGTCTCTTATGCAGGGCCATAAATCTCGATTAAATAAGATCTGCCATTAGGACCATCTGAAGGCTCTGGAGGAAACAGAATGTCAAAGCTCTCACTATAACTGGCAGGCCTTCCCTCCAATGTGCAAAGTGAATTCCAGAGCTTTGAAGGCCACCATCAGTTACAAGGAGCCATTAGAACTTAGCAATCCTAAAGACTAGCTAATTCTACCCTGCCTTAAAATTCTGTTTTCCTTGGTCACCTCTGAAAATATATACCTCGCTAATCACCTACGCACTTCCATTTTCTCATCTTAGAATGCTTAATCTCCTTTCAAACTCTTTCAAGATGCTACCCCAAACTCCCAAATATTGGTTAATAAAACCTACTATAGCCTCAGTCACTTCATTTTTTTTAAGATTCATTTATTTTGGAGAGAGAAAGAGTGCACACAAGCAGAGGAAGGGGCAGAGGGAGAGGGAGAAGCAGACTCCCCACTGAGCAGGGAGCCTGATGCAGGGCTTGATCCCAGGACCCCAGGAACATGACCTGAGGCGAAGGCAGCTGCTTAACCAACTGAGCCATCCAGGTGCCCCGAAATGTTTTTTTCTTTAAAGAAGCTGCCTTCAGTGCCTGGGTGGCTCAGTCAGTTAAGCGTCTGCCTTCAGCTCAGGTCATGATCTCAGGACCTGGGATCAAGCCCCACATTGGGCTCCCTGCTCATCAGGGAGCCTGCTTCTCTGTCTCCCTCTGCTGCTCCCCCTGCTTGTGCTCTCTGTCAAATAAATAAATATATAATCTTAAAAAAAAAAATAAAGAAGTTGCCTTACCTTGTAACATTCTAAAGTGCAGGCAGTTCATGCTCTCAATCCCATGTACCTGAGTCAGAATGTGGAATCTATGATCCTCCCAGCCCAATGTACTTTCCAGAGACCATAGTTCCTCTGCCTTCTCACAAAATCGCCTGTTTCCTTGAGGATCAGGCCATCTGCCCATACCATCTTACCACTCCTAATTGCAGTTATGTAACAAAACTGTGGTCACTACTCCATTCACTGAAAGCATTGCTGGCATCTAGCTCAAAATCTTTCTCTACTTCCTGCTGTCCCTCTTGATTTCAGTGACAATCCATCTAATACCTGGACTTCTCAGTTCTTGGCCTCATCATCAGAGAGAATTCTTACTCCATTACAAAAACCTCCCATCTTTTCCGCTCAAGTATTCTATGACTTCCCTGAGACTTTCAAACCATCAACAAGTCTTCTTTCTTCCTTTTTAGGAACCCCTCTGTCTTTACTTCCTTCCCTATCTAGCTTAGACTATATAGATCTTCATTTCTTCACTCTGGAGATAATAAACTAAGTTCTCTTGTCTTACTGTCTTTTCATAGTAACTTCCTGGAAAACACACAACCCTGTGAAAAATTAACTGCTTGTTTTTTTTTCTCTATCACACCTAGGCAGCGGAGTATGGGGAATGGGGGGACAGAATCACTTCATCAAGCTGTGTGCAGTACTGTAAAATCACAGTGAAAACCCTCAACGGGGCTTTTATCCCTGCCTGGAAATCTTCCTAATTACAACAGTCAACTAACTCTCCTATTCTCCAAAAGACTTTTTACCTTCTCCATAATTCTCAACTGTGTCCTCCTCTTTCACTCTTAGCATATGACTCTATTTTCAATTCAACTTCCTACCACCAAATCTGAAAAAGGACCTATATCTCCACCTGTGCCTTCCCCATTATGATGGAAGATGTGCTTCTTTTCCTATCTTAAAAGCCAACTCCTACCCCTATTCTGGATTCCATTCCTTCCTCCTTTTTTAGGTATTATGTATCACTGATTGATCATCCTCTCTCTCTCCTGTATCTCCCTCTTCTCAACTTACTTATATTGGTTGCAGTCTCTCTTTTTAAAGAAAAGACTCTCATAGATTAAAGGAGAAAAATAATCTGATGATCTCCATAGATATAGAAAAAAATTCACTAAAATTCAAGATTCATTCATGATAAAAACTCTTAGCAAAAATCAAATTTAATGGTGAGACATCAGTATTCTTATTAAAGCCAGCAATATTCAACACTGTATTAAAGATTCTAATTAGTGCAATAAGACAAAAAAGAAAAGTGGTGTAAGAATTGAAAAGGAAGAAAAATGATCACTTTTTTTTTAAAGATTTTATTTATTTATTTGACAGAGAGAGAGACAGCGAGAGAGGGAACACAAGAAGGGGAGTGGGAGAGGGAGAAGCAGGCCTTCTGCTGAGCAGTGAGCCCGATGTGGGGCTCGATCCCAGGACCCTGGGATCATGACCCAAGCCAAAGGCAGACATCCAACGACTGAGCCACCCAGGCGCCCCAAAAT